GAGAGAGAGAGAGAGAGAGAGAGAGAGAGAGAGAGAGAGAGAGAGAGAGAGGGGGAGAGAGAGAGAGAGAGAGAGAGAGAGGAGAAAGAGATAGTTTCTTCCAATATGCTCGAGTCGGGTTAATTCCCGGGCTAAAAATATCAAAGGGATGCAGTATTTTGTTTTCCCGATAGTTTGCCGTGTAGATTTATGCCTTGCAGCTCGTGTTACCCTGAGATTACAGGGGAATCCAAAACTATAAATAGATAGAATATAATAATATGTAACAAGTAAAAATCCCACTTTTCAAGTACGTATGACGCAGATGTAAGTAGGCTAATCTGGCGATCCTTTTCGGTCAAGAAGAGAGCATTGAAAAAACAAAGAATACCAACATGAACGTCTCGTTACATAAATCAAGACAAGATCTATTTTATTTCACTTTTGAGTGGTAAAGAAAAGCATAGGCCTTGACACAACATCCTTTTGTGTTGGAGATAATAGTTGTCAAACGCGTAGAACACATGGATAATGGATTTGCGCTATATAAATGCAATTACGTGTACTATTATCATTATTATTACAGATAAAACAACAAGGACGGACAGATAAACCAGAGGAACGGTAAAGTATAAAACAACCTATCAGTGACATCCTCGAACTAAACTTATATTCAACATTACATTCTCAAGAAAAATTAGTTTTAACTGCATTTGGAATGAAGCTAAAGAAAAACAAAGAAATGCTCCCCAAAAATTAGCATCATCCAACCTGCCTTATACATGAACTCATTTTAAACTCCAAGAAAGAGACAAAATAAAATATTTACAAGTGATATAAATATATATCAATAGATCTGAATGACAACAGTTCACAAACCATCAAGCATCATGTGTGCGCGATAGAAAATAATAACTTACACTATAGAAATTTATTTCTCAGAGGTATCATTGTACACTCCGCTGAGGTGGGGGTGTGGGTGTGTGTTAACATTTAGTGTGAAACTCATGCAACAGACCCCTCAATCAATGAAGACACTATTTACATTATATTTTTGTCTCGGGAGTGAAAGTGAATTGAAAGGTCTAAAAATAATTCCATCTCAAGATAATAAATTAAAATTACCTAGTGGTCCAACAACAAAAGTAACAAGGGTTTTTTTTTACTTATTTCCTTTTACTATAAGTGGGAAAGTCAGAAAGACACTAAGTAAATTCATAAATTTCTTCTTTAGGTGGTCATCTTTCTCTTGTTTAGTCAGACGCGGGATTTTTTTCCATTTCCGTTGGAATTTTTTCAGTACGATTACGATATGATAGGATAAACATAACATAAAAAACAAACCCCTTTTTTAAGTAAATCAGAAAAAGTTTGAACTTTTAAGTCTCAACACAAGAAATATCTTGAGCCAGGCTTTTGATACAACCTTTCTGTGATTTTCTCAACCAATCAACTTCTTGTAACTTCAATATTGGTTCATTTTTATATTATAGAGTTAGTGAAAACACACTCTGCTGAGCCTGGGTGAAAAGAAGAAGTTCACTTTTGGCAGACCTTTCCTTCACAGCAATTCACATATATAACATGATATAGTGGCACTACTCTTACAGAACTCTAAATTTTCATTGCAGTGGTTAAGACTGCAGAAAAGGGAAGCCACACTCTTCTTTTTATTACAAAAACCACTGTGATAATGCAGAGCCAACAGCATTTAAACAAGACAAAAGTTGTCCCTGGTTATAAAACTAAAAAAAATTTTTAACTGGCTGACACCAGGGCAGTGTGTGTATTTTATTTATATATAAGCATGACACAGGCACTACTGTTGCTGTCATGAAGGTGAAGAACAATGCTTGTCTCCACTTGAAACTATTAACAGAGCCTGGACAGAACAATATCGAGGAACATAATACAAATTTGCTGTAATCACCTATATTTTTGTTTATTTAAATTGCCAAATTAGCTGACTATTCCCTCATTACTACTGTTGTTCCAAACGTACTCAACTCTGCTCTGTAATTATTACTCACAGAACAGTAGCAGAAAGCCCAAATGAAAGAAAATGGATGCCATGAATGTCTTTCACCAACTTTGCATTATCAACACTTATTTGGGGAGGGGGGGGGGGGGGGGGGTGTCGGACCAAAAGATTGTTGAGTGTAAAAAATGGCACAATTTCGACAGAATCTGTATTCAATAGCTTGGAAGAGGTTTTGCTCAAAGTTTTACATAGAGTATAGAGCTGTATGATAATGATGATATTTAAACCTACAGTGTTCAAGTGAAGGTTGTGCGCTATGCCTAGACGACAGTATGGTTCTAAATGACAATGTGGACCAAAAGCTGATACTTGGACTTTCTTCTACTTCTAGGATTAAATTCGTGTTGACGGAAAACGAAATGCAGATGAACATGATGGTGAGCCTAACAGAACAACTTTTAAGAGTAACTGAAACTTTAACTGTATGTAAGGTCCCTTCAATGATAGCCACAGAGACTACGTGTACCACAGACAACTCAGTTACCTTATATTGGTCAGCAATCAAGTGACATTATAAAGAAACTTTTGGTATTGTATTCTAAAGGCAAATTTCCTTTTAAGATCTTCATCGTTATCAGCATGTTTGTCATTCAAAATGACATATTTTCTGTCAAATTTAGAACAAGTGTAAGCTTCCCCTACTGCTCTGAGCTAAATGTTAAACGTTTGTGACTATCCTAATATTTATTTTATTGGGTCAAAAATGTTTTTGAAAAAAAGAAAAAATGCACAGCATAGAGAGGTTGTGAAACACAGAATACCCAGAAGTTAAGAAGTGAAGTAGAGTTTGTGAATATTATGAATTTGAAGTCATTTAAATTCAAGACTTCAATGTCATGATCTATGTAAAAAGGAGTGCAGCCCAGCTCCCATCCTCTTCTTCACACACACACACACACACACACACATCTGGAGGTTTATCATACTACAAGACAGACTGGGCCAATCTTTAGTGTTTAAAACTAAAGTTCTAAAAGGCTGATTCAGAATTTACCAGGGAAGTTCAAAGAATAAAAAACACATAGAAGGAAGCCTACTGCTACTGAGTAAATTGAAGACGTCAAAGTCAATGTTCTATGATACCTCAACATGAGTCAGCAAAGCAAATATGGTTGTATAATAAAAAGTGCTGATTAACAGAATGATTTATAATGTAAGCCTATAGTATACATATATAGATCTTCATAAAAGATTGGCATAAATTTCCAACGGGTAGTCTGAGGGTTTTTTTTATCAATTATAGTAGAGGGTCATAAATGGTTGGCATAAATTTCCTACGGGTAGTCTGTTTTTTTTAAAAATTAATTATAGTAGAGTGTTCAACCCTCTACTATAATTAATTTTTAAAAACAGACTTCCCGTTGGAAATTTATGCCAACCATTTATTTATGATATATAGTCTGGGGTTTGCACATTAGCACAACAATAACAATGACAATGAAAGAGCGTTAAATTATTAACAAAGGGGATCAGAAAATCTAGGCTCATACTGTAACTCAACTCATAGGCTCCAGGCCTTTAGGCTACATTATTCAAACCGTTTTGAAACAAGAATGTAAAATTACAAAAGAAAAACAAAATCTTCGCAATCAACAATTTTAAGAGCAGCAATAAAAATAATAGTATTAGCAGAGAAAGAAGATTTTAATAATAAATTACTATTAGATCTACAGTGTCAGAACAATTAAAGTCAAAGCCAAAGCCTGATACTGATACCATTTTTTAAACTCTCCATTCATTTGTATTCAGGGTCGTAGAAGCCAGTAAACATTTAATATGCATGCTAATGGTCATCTTGACAAATTTTAATTTTGTCCTTCCAAATTGCAATTTCTAAAAATTCAGCAACACCAAAATCATCTGGCGTACTACTCAGTACTGGGGTATGATTTGGTCTGGAATAGCCTAGATCTAGACTCTAGATCTAGATCATCTAGATCTAGATCTAGTACCTCCTTACTTTACTGCTAGGCCTACTGCCTTTCAGTTCAGACCTAATTTCTAGGTCAGATTCTTTACTACACAATGACAACAGTAGTCTCATCATAGTGGAAGTTCATTGCCCAGATAAATTGTTATGTTTACCCAAACTATTTTCAATCAAAATCCAAGTACAAGACTGCCAGATCATGACTGATTGAAAGGCTGAAGCTGGGGATAGCAGTGGAGAAAGATACAAAAAGAAGGCAATCAATTCAATCATTGAATATTGAAATGAAGCTGGGAGAGGTGCTTTTTCCACAATTCGTTTAGCATTACTCATTACTAATCTAGATCAAGCCAGAGGAAATGTTGGGCGTTGATGGACACAATAGAATAAAGGAAAAAGTAGATTAGATCTACACCCCACAGGATGTATTTTTTTCAGTTTGTTTGTTTGTTTGTTGATTTTTCCCCAGCTGCAGCACAGCCATCTAAGAAAATGAAAAAAAAACCCAAGACCTCGGCCTCTACAACTAGAAATCTAACAACGTCTAGCCAACGAAAGAAGCCAAGAGGTACTCGATTGTGGGGGTGATGTAATGGGGCCTACACCAGAATGTCGCTCACTCTATCATCCATGCGGTGAACATACGTAAAAACAAGCGTACTTTACTTTTGTCAGTCGACAGAGGCCAACCCAGAAGACGCGCTGGGATGGGGAGGAGAAGTGCAAATAGTGGTAGATCTAGATTTCTAGATCTAGATTGTATATCTAGATAACAACAATGAGGACAAGGATCGCGAAGCGCACAGCTGATCAAGATTGTTGACCTACTATGAAACGGCCGCAAGCAAAGGGTGTGCGCTGTGCAAAACACGGGTAAAATGAGAAATAACGCTAAAGCATTCATTATTGTCAGAATAGACTTGTAAATTAATTAACTTTGCTCACCGGTGGCCTTTCCACATTGTAAAGGGTGCTGCTGAATAGGAATGGTTCGTATCTTGGTTGTTGTTGTTCAAGGCTGTTCCAACTCGTTCAATCCAGTTCAGACACCCTGTGGGCTAGTCATGTGACTTTGTTTATAATGGGAGAGTGCTGTGCGCATGCTCAAACCCCCTCGCCGGGCGCACCTCGTCCTCGTTGATGTTTTTGACTGCTGGATTCTGCCTGTTCCGTTCCCAGTTTTTCAGTTTTTTCTCAGATGTAACATGACAAAAAGAAAAACAATCAAATTATATTATTAAATTAAATAAAAATATAAAAGCAGCTTGAAATGCGCAAAAACTCACACCACGCCTTTTTTCTCATACATCAACACGACTCAGACGCACAAACACATCTTTTCCTTCCCACACTCGCTCATCCTCCCCCCAAGTCGCCACGATACCGGTTGCAGAGCAGCTGTTTTGGCAGTAAAAAAAAACGTTTGCCTGTGATCTAGAACAGCACGGAGAGTGAGTAAGTTGTTTTGGCGAAGAAGGAGGGGTGACTCCACGTTGCATCATCTTGACTAGGGATAGATCTAGATATCTAGACCAAGACGTAGAATAACACGAACTAAGAAATGACCGATCGGACCAGAGACAGAGATGTTGGGCTGTTTGTTCGTGTTTATAATACATGCACATGTATTAATAAATAATAATTATTGTTGACTGGGTGGTATACCAGTCGTGCTTGAAATCCCGCCGACACTTGAAACTGAAGACGAAGAAACCTATCGATTGTCGTCTGCTGGTGGATTTCAACAAGAAATGAAAATACATAATGTACATCTATATTTAGAGTTTTGTGTGGACCTAGATTGCTGATGTCAGCTAAATAATCGCTCATTTTGGAAATTATAAGAGAGAGAGGGGGAGGCCGGGGGGGGGGGGTCTATCTGTAAGTAACAAGTAACTGCCTTGAAAACCAGCACATGGCTCCCTATTTTAGGCTTTGTAACTTTTTCATATAACATATTGTAGATCTAGATCTAAGTTTTATTGGGGGGTTTTTAATATTACTTTTAATTAAGCTTAACATTTTTTGTCGAAACATGCTGGGGACAGATGGAGAAGACGAACAACAAAAAAGACCTGTTGTGTGGTTATAAATTAAAATTATATTACATGTATATTGCAAGGCATTTGACACATTTTTTAAGCTATTATCCATGTCTCTGCTTCTCTCTCTCTCTCTCCCTCTCTCTCTCTCTCTCTCTCTCTCTCTCTCTCTCTCTCTCTCTCTCTCTCTCCCTCTCTCTCTCTCTCTCTCCCTCCCCTCTCTCTATGTGTCTGTCTCTCTAGCTCTCTAGTCTCTCTCTCTCTCTCTCTCTCTCTCTCTCTCTCTCTCTCTCTCTCTCTCTCTCTGTGTGTGTGTGTGTGTGTGTGTGTGTGTAAGAGAGAGGGAGAGAGAAAGAGAGAGAGAGTGCATTTGTGTGTATATAGTTGTGTGTGTGTCTCTCTGTATGTCTCTCTCTCTCTTTTTCTCTCCCTCCCTCCCTCCCTCCAAGCACCTATTTGCGAAAACTCCCTCTCACCCCACCCCCTCCCCACACACACACATACATAATATTATGTTCACATATAAGTGTAGGCCTAAGTATAAATTTTTATCTCACATACGTGTGTGCTTGTGTGCAGAGGCGAAGCGTCTATATAATCAAATAATCACTGCTTCCCTTCCTAATTTTGAAACATTGTCGCAGTCAAATTCACCCATAGACGTAAACCTCATAAATTAAATGTAAAAAGACGTTCATAATCACCAAGAACAATAGATTATGCCTAACCTTCAAAACCGTTTCATTGCCACAGAAATAGCCTGTTCGCCCCTATCGGGCCACTCCATAAGCAGTCACAAGCTTTCATTAAGTAAGCTTAAAGTGAGGCTGGAAGAGTCAACCAATAGATTTGAAGGGAACATGTGCATAGCAGTCAGAACTGTTTCATTGTCGCATATATATACCCTGTTCACCCCTGTCGGGCCACAGTTATAAGCACCCAGACGCGCTGATTATCTAAGCGAACTATTACACTGGTCGAGTCTACCTCACAGATGTGAGGGGAACTAACTCCTAATAATCATTTGACTCCTGCTACTACACTGCTAGTGCTTGTTTTTTTCCTCGACTTTTTAACGTCCTATAATCAGATCATGACCTCGATTATGACAGCGGCTCCAGGCCGCGAAAAGCTAGACAAAAAACAGCCAAATATGAAATAAAAAATTAATACTTGGCGTGCTCTACCAAAGTGTTTCGGCTGTCTGGTATAACATGCCATTGTAGTGCTGACATCTGTGCTTCTTTCCTTGGTGTTCGTGTGTTCAAATCTAAAGTTAAATTTAAGGTTAGTTAGAATAAATATTATTTAATTAAATACTTTCCCGATTATTTTAGCGGTTGAACAAGCATACAACATGAATTCAGGATTTGTTTTCATTCACAACTCAGAGTTGCCGCCTCCAGTTCCAGTAAGATTCTTGTAACTTGTGTGAGTGTGATATCTCCTGGCCCTATCTGGTCCCATTTCTCTTTGATTACCATGTCAAACAAGTCAGCCTTCGCCCC